ACGCCCCCCCACGTCAGCAGGAAGCAGTCTTGAGAATTCAACACCCTTATTCCTTAACCTGCCATGTCTAACACCCCACCTTTTTCTAATAATAAGTAGAGGTGGGAATGAAAGGTTTAGGCATTATGCTGGCCTGCCCCTGTTACCTGGTGGAACAGGCAGTACCCTGGTCAGCCCAAGGTTCCATGGGAACTAATTCTGCACACAGATACAGAGGACCCCTTTAAAAGATAGGTCCCTGCCCATTTACGCTCTGTTTCTGTTCTGTTTCCTCGCTCTGCTTTCTCTCTACTCTGTCTCCTACCTATGCGCTCGCTCTGTCTCTCTAATCTCTAACCGGCCATGGCGGTCAGCCATTTACCCCTGTTCCTCTTCTTAGTCTCCCCCTTCTGTTGGGCCTTATAATAAACTTATAATCTTATGTCTCATGTCTCAGCATTTCTCTTTTCTTTTTTTTTAAACAAAAGAATAACACCAAGACTGTAGAGAGGAAAGCCTGTCTATGGGGAAAACAAAAATAATAGGTAAAATATTTTGATTGGAGAAACGTATTAGGGAATGAACAGAAGTCAGCTCCAGAGTTGGGGTGAGACCAGGCTCTGAAAGCCTACCTAGTCAGGGAGTTTGTAAGAAAAATAGTATAGAGCGTAGTCATGATTGAGATTTTCAGGGAAGAATTATTTTAATGTTATTGCAGACCAGTCTGGCAGCAGTGAGGAGGCCATCTCTTATACTGAATACAATAGTGGGATTAGCAGGGATCTGGAAACAAAACCAACGGATATTGTTGCTGAAGAGCCATCATAGCCAACACTGATGGTGTTCAGCCTGGCTGGCTGGCTGGAGGTTAACTACAGAATGCAAAGCACAAAGTTTGGGAAGAGTAGCTAGTCCTGTCTCTGGGCCCAAGATTGGGATTCTTCAGCTAAAGATTGTTCTTCAAAGAGGGAGCCAAGGACAAAACCCTAAGGAATAGGATTATTTCCTTGATAATCCAAAAGAACTTTGAGATAATATTAAAATAAATAAGCAGATCCAGGTGTGATGAATGGGCCTGGAGTGCCAGCTGCCCTGCAAACTGAGGAGGCAGATTACTTGGTCAACAAACTGAGATCCAGTCTTTTAGAAGGGAGAGAGGGAGGGAGAGAAGGCGCAAGAAAAAAGGGAGGGAGGAATGAGATTTTGTTGTTGTTGTTGGTTGCTTCATCTTAGTTCTTAGATGTAGAAGCTAGTATGACTTCATGGTCTAGAAGATGGCTAGGCTATGGGTTTCAAAACAAATTATATCCATTTAAAATCGTATACGTCATCTGATGTACAAATTCTACTTCAGCAGAGAGTGATGGAGTGCTTGCCTAACAGATGTGTGGCCCTCAGTTTAATTCCCAGGACCACAAAAGAAACAAAACAAAACAGCAAAGTAATGAGCAGAGGAACGCAGTGCTTTGGGGAGAATGCCGGCTTGATAAACACAAAGCTAACACCTGTAATCCTACTGAAGGGAAGTAGAGTCAAGAAGTTTAGAAATACGAGGTTATTGATTTGGGACAGCCGAAGATAAACTCTTTCTGGGACTTTGGTGAAGGAGGTGATCAGTTGGAACCTCGAGCTTGCTCCTGCACCATTCGGAAAGCCCTGTTCCTGTCTCTCTCTCTCCAAACCCCACCTGCTCAAAGAGCCTCTGGACAAAGGAAAGACACCAAAAGCCCAGTTCCGAATTCTTAGCATCTACTGCAGCTTTCCCCCCTGAAGTTGCCAGACACCACCCACCTAAGCGATCAGCTTTTGACCATACTTAGCCACAAGGCCCAGCTTGTGGAGGACAGACACATCATCACCCCTAGCCTACAACCCTCCCTGCTTTAGTTCAGGGGCGTGGTTTCTCTGGTCTCTATCTCTGCGACTGGAGAACTTGCCCCTAAGGTGCTTTGCTCAAATAAACCTGTTGTTATCCTTTTTCATTCGGCCTTATCTGGACTACTGCATCATCGGAGAAACTTATTATCGGGGACAGAAAACCTGCTAGTAAAATCAGCTGGCTGCTTTCTCTGCCTCTTTGAGATAGTGGGGTTTACCCCCGCATCTGGCTCCCAAGTCTTTATTGGTAAAATAAAAGGATAGAGACTTAAACATTTGTTAAATGTTAAAACATTTGTCTTGCCCGGTGGTGGTGGTGGTGGTGGTGGCGCACGCCTTTAATCCCAGCACTCAG